CAGTGCAACACCCACAATGTATAACATACAGTAACACATTGCTAGTTGTGTGAATAAGCAGAAAAATATAATTTATAATAAATATTTGTAAAGATTTTTTTTATTAGAGAGAGAGGTCTTCCACCCGCTGGTTCACTCCCCAAATGGCCACAATGACCTGAGCTGATCTGAAGTCAGGAGCCAGGAACTTCTTCCAGGTCTCCCTTGTGGGTGCAGGGGCCCAAGGACTTGGGCCATCTTCTGCTGCTTTCCCAGGCCACAGCAGAGAGCTGGATCAGAAGTGGAGCAGCCAGGACTCGAACCAGCGCCCATATGGGAGAGGGCAGCTTTACCTGCTATGCCACAGCACTGGCCCCATAATCTATAATGAATATTAAAAGGAGCCAATAGTAATCAACCCTTAAGTAACCCATTTGTTTAAATAAGCAAAGAAGAACTTTAGAGCTTGATTTTAAAGGAAAAGATGAGTATAATGACTGAGTACATAGGGATATTAATAAGAAACATGGAAGCTACCTGTGTTACAAAAAGAAGTCAAAAAATGGTTATTATGGCACAGATGGTTAAACTACTGTTTGGGAAGCCCACATCCACATCAGAGTGCCTGAATTCATGCCTCACCTCTGCTTCCAATCCAACTCCCTGTTAATACACACTCTGGAAGCAGCAGATGATAAGGGCTTGGATCCCTGCCACCCAGGTGGGAGACACTGATGGAATTCCTGGCTCCTGGCTTCATCCTAGCCCAGCCCCAAATGTTGTGCACATTTTGGGAGTGCACCAAAAGATGGAAGATATAGCTCTCTGAGTGTCACTCTGCCTTTGAAATAAAATAAATAAACCTTAAGTGTTAAAAATCAAATTAAAAACAAAACAGAAGTTCTAGAACTCCATTTGAAATAGAATGTCTAAAATGAAAAATTTACTGGATTGGCTTAGAAGATTGGACATAGGCCAGCGCCGTGGCTCAATAGGCTAATCCTCCACCTTGCGGCGCCGGCACACCGGGTTCTAGTCCCGGTCAGGGCGCCGGATTCTGTCCCGGTTGCCCCTCTTCCAGGCCAGCTCTCTGCTATGGCCAGGGAGTGCAGTGGAGGATGGCCCAGGTGCTTGGGCCCTGCACCCCATGGGAGACCAGGAAAAGCACCTGGATCCTGGCTCCTGCCATTGGATCAGCGCGGTGCGCCGGCTGCAGCGGCGGCCATTGGAGGGTGAACCAACGGCAAAGGAAGACCTTTCTCTCTGTGTCTCTCTCTCACTGTCCACTCTGCCTGTCAAAAATAAAAATAAAAAAAAAAAAGAAGATTGGACATAATAAAAGGTTAGTAAATTTAGAACAGATTAACAGAAACCATACTATTTGAAGAAAAGGAGAAGTATTGCAAAAATAATGACTTGTAGAACAAAATAAAATGTCTAAAATATGTATAATTGGTGCAAACCATTAATCACTATGTCCAAGATGTTGACACCACATAACCAAATTATTGGAAAGTGCAAGAAAAATCTTTAAAATATCCACAAAACAAAAATAAGTATATTAAAGGAGTTGCAACTAAAATGAATTATGATTCACTTCAAATCAGAAATAATAATGCTAAAATGTAATGGAATAATTTTGGTGGACTGAAAAGAATTAAAATTCTTAACACAATATCTTATATCCAGTGAAAAATGATCCTTAAATACGACTGAAATAAAGATACATTAAAAATAAATGGAAAGTGAGAGAATTCACCAATAGATTTGCACCATAAGAAGAGGTAAGTGAAGTTTTTCAGGTGAAACAAAAATCATACAAAATGAGGCTTGAAAAGAAGAGACCTGGAGATGCTAGACATATTGACTAAGGCTTTTTTCCTCATCTTAAAATTTCTTTAAAAGACATTTCTTTAAATCAAAAATAACAAACTGTATTATTTACAACATATATAGGCATGAAGTGAATGACAACACAGGAAGGGATAAATGGTATGTATCTCTTTTCCTGAAGTGGAACAATATTAATGATAAGTAGACTGCTGTAGGAAGTTAAGATTGCATATTACAGTGGCCAAATGATTTTCAGAAATATTTGGACAAATAACTAAAAATCAAGACAAAAAAATGAATATACTTGACCTGATTCTTTTTTTAACTTACATCCAACAACTGCAGAATATAGTTTTCTACTGTATGTGGCATATCTACCAAACATAAAGTATATGATAACCAATAAAATAGGATTTAATATATTCTAGAAGATCAAAATATGATACCAAAGTAATTAAACTACCAGTCACTAATTTCAGATGCCTAAAAGGTTTTTCACTCTTTGAAAATTAGACAACTTCTTCAAAATCTCATGGCTAGAAGAAAAAAATCACAAAGAAATTAGGAAAATATTTGAATTGAACTTTAAGGAAAACTCAGTATATCAAAATGTGTGGGATAACTATAAATACATAGTATAAAGTAAAACACCATGAGTCCATACTGATATAAGTAATAAAGCCAAATAATAAATGTAGAATTACACAATTATAATTTGGCAGAGTAATAATAATAAGCCAAGAATCATTAATGGATGCTATAATGAAGGTGAGAAAGTTTCATAAGATATTTGCCTAGTCTCAAGTAGTTTCTCAAGATGTGTATTATTTACAAGGGAATAAATAAGGTAATTTTTCTGTGGAGAAGGGAGTTGGACATTTACATTAATCAAGTAATTAAAATGATTGTCATCAATAATGGAACAAATCACCATAATTTGCCACCTTATATATTAAAAACTTCTGTAGCATTCCTGCCCCCTTTCAGAAAAAAATACATAACCTGAATCTAACTGTGAGGAAGCACTAGTTGAACTCACACTGAGGAATATGTTAGTAAGTATCCATTTATTCATTATAACTGCCCAGTTCATGTAAGAGAAAGAGACTAAAGTATTCCAAAGAAGAGTAAAGAGGCTTAACAAGTAATTCATTAAGAATTAATTGGTGATATAAAAAGCATTATTGGATGGGGCCAACACTGTGGCATATCAGGTTAAAGCCCTGGACTGCAGCGCCAGCATCCCATGTGGGCACCGGTTCGAGTTCTGGCTGCTCCATTTACCATCACAGCTCCCTACTAATGGCATGGGAAGCAGTGGAGTATGGCCTAAGTGCTTGGGCCCCTGCACCCACATGGGAGACCCAGAGGAAGCTCCTGGTTCCTGGCTTCAGAACAGCTTGCTCAGGCCTTTGCGGCCATTTGGAGATTGAACCAGCAGGTGGAAGACCTCTCACTCCCTCTTGCTCCCTCCCTCCCCTTCCCCTTTTCTCTGTCTCCCTCTCCCTCTCTCTCTCTCTCTGTCTCTGTGTCTCTATGTCTCTGTGTCTTTCTGTCTTTCAAAAAATAAATTAGGGGCCAGCACTGTGGCGCAGCAGGTTAACGCCCTGGCCTGAAGAGCTGCCACTCCCTATGGGCTCCAGTTCAAGACCTGGCTGCTCCACTTCCCATCCAGCTCTCTCCTATGGCCTGGGAAGGCAGTGGAAGGTGGCCCAAATCTTTGGGCCCCTGCACTTGCGTGGGAGACCCAGAGGAATCTCCTGGCTCCTGGCTTCGGATCGCTGCAGCTCTGGCCATTGCGGCCATCTGGGGAGTAAACCATCGGACGAGTGGAAGACCTCTCTATCTCTGCCTCTCCTCTGTCTGTGTAACTCTGACTTTCAAATAAATAAATAAATCTTTTAAAAACTAATAAATTAAAAAAAGCATTATTGGAAGGAACAATTGGTGAAACCTCAGTGATTAAATGGTTGTAATGTTATCAATTTCAATAATCATTTTGAAGGCTTTATAGAAAATTAACACAGAAATGTTCAAAGATGTACTATAAAGTTATTGTTAAATAGTTTAGGGAAAAAATGACCTTTGTACTGTTATTGAAACTTTTCTTTAACTTTCATATTGTTTTAAAAATAGAAGTTTTCACTTATCATTTCAGCTCTAGACTCTTCACTGCCCATGATTTCTCTAGGTAGAAACTGTGGTTTGGAAGTCTAATTGTTTGGTCACAGAAATGTCGATTTTAGTTGTCTGTAGGATTTTATTCTGCTTTTGGAAATCCAGGTAACCTCTCCAACGTAATTATTACTATAGTATAAAGCTACTGATTTTGCTTTACTCATTGTGGCATAAAAGCTACTCAGAATTGCTTCTTTGGTTCCAAGTTGGATGACACGAGGATGAGTATGCTCTCTGAACATTCTCTTGTTGGCATCTCTAATTACCTTGGCCATTGGCACAGGGCCAGTTGGAATGTCAACTCTGCCATCTGATAATGCTATAAAAAGACCTATAACTTCTGCTCTCCAGCCATCTGTGCCTTCCCTTGGGTAGTTTGCCTTGCATTGGCATGATTTTTGCATGGTGGCTTACATCTGCCACTCCTAGGCACATTCTTGGTGATCAAGTTGACATGGAATTGCTCCCTTGGCACTGTTTATATAATGGAGTTTTATACCTGATAACTTATGAATTAAGAGTTACCATTTATTATATATAATTGCCATTGTAAAAAATTATTAATACAGACATTTTTGGCTCTAATGAATCAAACTAGCCTAGTTTAGACTTCCAACTTTAAATTCTCCCAAACAGAACAAAGTATAAACTGCTAAAGAAATACACCTCTTCTTTTTTTAAAAAAATACTCGACTGAGGCCCACACTGGAGAGTAGGGGTAAAGCTATTCCATTATGTCAGTATGTAGGGTATGTAGCTGCATTCAGATGTCTGAGTAGAGTCTGTTGCAGGAGCTGAGGGGTACTGCCTAGCAGTTTATCAGCACCAGGACTGGGCTGAAGTGCCTTGGTACCATGAGGTTCTATGATTAAAAAAAAAAAGGAACTTTTGTAATAAATAGAGGAACATTCTATTAATCTTCCCAAAAAAGACATCTAATTCTACAAATAAGGACATAAAGGTGTTAAAAATCCTCTCAAATAGTTGGCTGCTTCCATAAATAGAATAACTGGACAAGCTATAAAAATTACAGAAAAATGCAGAAGCTGATCTGTTGCAGAAAGAAAAATCACCTTCTCTTCCTAAATCTTAGTGTTCGGAAAAAAAATAGACTACTACAAGTGAGAGCTGTGATATAGCAAATAAAATGAACTGGCTTGTGCAGGCCACCTGCTTGAAAAATTATGCCATGATAGTCAAACATTGTGGTTCTTCACAAACAGAAAGCCCTTAATTAAAATACAGTGGGTTATGTGCATGTCCATCTAATGTTCTGCCTACAGTTCAGACAGGAGTCACAAAAAAGCCTTCAACTCACCAAAGGTATATATCTATATTAGGACTTTTTATATGTAGACCTCAGTTGAGAGATGTGTACTTAGCAAAATTATTTTTAAATTGAAACAGCAAATACTTAACATAAAATACCCCTTGGATTTTTCTTCCCTTGTAAATTTATTATATTATTACACTTGTTAAAATTTTAACCATTAAATCATAAAGTTCCAATTATTTCACAAGGCCAGTTTGGGATAGACTACATTCCACTTATGCTGTATATAGTTTGAATTGCATATAAATTGCTCCTTCTCTGGCCACCCCTACCCCATTTTGCAAGATTTAATTAGTTGTGTACCTGGTGCTCCTCACTTGCCTCAGTCATCGTTATTTGATGGCAAAATAGACCTTCATAAAAGGAGAGAGAAAAGATATTAGTCTGACGGGTCTCAGAAGTTTTTGAGCTGTGCCATTCATGGCACTTTTTGCCTATGAATCTCTTTTTTGGATTTTTTTTAACTTTTATTAAATGAATAT